ACGACTACGACTGCGAGTGCGAGTGCAACTGCGACTGCGAATGCTACAAGTTAAGCTAGCACAGTTCGGAGGGTACAGTCCGACTCGATTAGGCAGGCCAGGAAAGGCACCAACTCCATTTCCTGCCGTCTCTCTTATCACATCGCATTTGCGAATCTCAGCCGCTCGCGAGAAACCAGCTGGTCCAAACCTTTTCAGCCAAACCGAAAACAAGGTGTAGCGGCAGATGCGACATGCACCTGCAACAAATCCTACCCGCCCTTCTGTTGCGCTGCCGCTGCACAGATCCTTCATGCGCCATGGAAGATAGTGCGACAATGCCACTTGAGTAGCACGTGCAGATGACGGTGGTGCGACTGCAGCTCCACAGGACAGGAACTCGACGACTGAAACATGGATTTCATGGCGGAGCATCCAAGGGCCAGGCAAAACAATACAGCATCAGAAAGAAAAGCCTGAGAAGGCATCTTTCGAGTGACTTTCCGGCCCGGCAATCCCCGAGCAAAGGCATTCTCAGAGCGTTCATCCAAGCTTTTGCGCATGTCATGTTCGCCTTCACGGCCCCCAGAGACACCTCAACCTGCAGCTCCGGCGTCTTGGTGCACGGCCCTGTTGACATGGCCCTGGACAGTGTCGTGCCAGGAGGCAGCAATACTCGCCTCAGCGCGAATCAGGGATACGAGCAAAGTGCTGGACGAGGATAACAACGATGTGCAGGTTTTCAGGAGGAGGAAGAGGAGGATCAGAACAAGAGGCTCTTGAATCGGAGAGTGAACGAACCAAAGAGACACTCGTGCAAGCAACAGTCACCACAGTCACCGGTGCCGCAGGGCATTCGCCTTCTGTGGTCAATTTCTCCATCGGCGAGCTCGATGAACTACGATCAGGAAGGTTTGTAATTCATAGGGAAGCAAATGACAACATCTGCAACCTGCAGATACACGGCAACCGTTTTGATAGCTCTGCCGCCACTAGCTTGCAGCTCACCAGCACTTGCAGCGCACTAGCACTACTAATTACTGAAGTTCTGGCTTCGACCGAGGCTTTTTTTGGGACTTGCCGCAAGCCTCAAATTGAGCCCAGAAAGGGGCCCAGCTCGATGAGAAGGCGGCTGTCCGGCTCAGCCTCTTTGGCCTGCCGGGGGCCCCGGGTACTGGGGGATGCTGGGGGGTGGTCCTATTCCCAGCTTTCCAAAAAACGGAGCAAGAGCGCCGATAGTGCACTTTTCTAGAAGCGGCATCGTGTCCAAGCCCTTTTACAGCAAGCCCGGCTACTGGAAGCGCCGCCTTCTCATGGGACCGGGCGACCATGTCCTCAGGGTGCAGACAACACTCGCAGAGATCATTCGCATTAGCCAGGCTCTTGCTGACTTGTGCTTCACTTGTACCAGAACAACAAAGACATCATCCATCTCCCTCTGTTTGGCAATGAGCACAAACAACCTCTACATATGCTTCGGTCCTCTGGATGAGCACCGTGCACCAGCATTGCTGTGTAAACCGTTTAAGATGCATGTATGTATGTAGTTGTATGTATATGTATGTACGTATGTATGTAGGTATGTATGTATATGTGCATGTGCAGGCATGATCGTGGAGTTAAAGTTCTGAAAGCTTCCGAAGCTCTGAAGTGCTGCATGCTCAACCCATTGATCGTCTGGCAGACTCATGCAGCAAGCATAGCTCGAGATGGACTTGGGCAGCGGGTCAGCAAACAGCAGATCTCAGGCTTCTCAAAAAGGCCGGGCCCGCACAGCCTAGGAATAGACTTGCAGTGTGCACTCGGTCACAGAACAGGAAGATCAAGCGGCAGGATGCCTTTTCAACAAATAGCGGCATCTCGTAGCACGAAAGCCACGTGAAACTGCGGAATCACGAATGCGCTGCTCGACACATGCAGAGCAGGCGTGCACGGAAGCCTTCGTTGACAGACGCAAAGCATTGCCCCGTCGGAGCAATTCCCTGCATCGAGCGGGCAGAACGTGTTCATGATGAAGTGCCTGCTTGGCCGTATCTAGCTGGGATTCGGCCACAGCCCGAGAGCTCCTACACTTGAGGTCTCCACAAAGATGTACTTGACCGGCGTAGCACATGACAGGTCGCACTCACTGCGCTGAGCACAGAAGTCGGTCAGTCAGGGAACTTCCTGGCCAACCTGAGCCACCGGCGCAGACTAGGTCCCCAAAAAAGAGAGCTTCAACCTGAAAGCTGAGCCGGGCTGCGCTTTGTCCACTGCTGCCAGCTGCAGCTGATCAGCTCGTGCCTGCACAGAAACTTCGAGCTTTATAAGATTTGCTACCGTGAAGCCGCCCAAGTTCCGTGGCTACAGGATAGGCCTGGTCCCACTCATCTTTTGAGGGAGGTGCAGGCAGCAGCCGTGGCCGTACCTCACCGAATTCAGGGACTCTAGAGCGCAAAACTAATTACCAGCTCCTTAGCCCTTAAGCCACGCCCTCTGCATCAGTGGGATCAGCTAGTTGGCCTCTTCGGCAAGACCACAACATTGAAGCTCAGGTGACGCAAGTCTCGACAATGCAAGGACGTAAGATCGACATCGTTCCGATTCCTTGTGAGAGGTCCATGCACTCAGCAAGCATGCAAACGAGTAGCCGCAATGAGGGAGTTCTGTTACAGCGACACGACGGAGAGCTGTAACGCTCGCTTGGATGCTTTTTGTGAGCACTTGTCTGCCAGAAATTGCTGCATACAACATGCCGCTCTTTCTTATAGAAGGGGCACGGAGATGTTGCCACGGTTCTCTCTGACCTGACCAAGCTCGACTATGATGTACTGACACATGTCACTTGGTGCGTACACACTATGCTCGATGGTGCGATTCGTCAGAGAAGAGTCTTGCCTCGTAGGTTTGTAGCGGCGGCGTCTCAGGTAGACCCCGTGAAGCATCCTCCGCTTGCAGTCTTGTATCTGTGGTTGTCATTACCGGTGCATCGTCGCATCAAACTGGGTCCCAAAGGCAAGTGCCCACAATCGGATCGAAGAGGTAGGTGTGAGCTGGGCACGCCACCACTACCTGGATTGTAAGGAAGCTCTACAGAACCGACTCCGTGTCTCCCATGCCAGCCGCACCCCTGCTCCGAGCTCGGATAGATCCTGACCACACTCAGGATGTATCAAGCAGATTCACGCAGCACCGGACAAAGAGCTCCTCCACATCTCCACCGAGGAGATCGATGCCCGCGTGAGGACAGCTGCGGTCGAAAGAGAGCCACTTCCCATCCCGGTGCCTGGCAACCAGGGCTTCCCTGTGGCCGCTTAGGGGGTCTCTTCCTGGCTCCCTAAGCTTAACCTGTGCGTTCAGGATACAGTTGGCACCTTTGCAGTTTCTGTCGTGAACAAACCTTGTCGGGGAGTTGGTCTCTCGAGCTAAGTACACAATGGTAGGACATGGTCGCTGAGCCGAGCAGAGTCGCAGGGGCGACTGCAGGCAACTTCTCTCATTCGGAGCATCGGCGAGGCTGCAGAAAGTCACGAAGTGCTTGGCTTCGGGTTTGGGCCATGCGCCTTTTGTGTTCGTAGATTTGGTATGAGCTATTTGTCTCAGCTCTTGTAAACCTCGAAGATAACCTGACTCCTGTTGCATGCCGCCGCAACTCTGAAAGCGTGCCAGCCTTGCAAGACACAGGCTGTGCGACCCTCGTTGAGCTCAAAGGTCAGTAGTTCCCAACCTCGTGCGATTTTCGGTGAACCTGTACTGCAAGTAGCTGTGATCCACAGAGCTATGCAAACCGCATTTTGGGCTCGGGCCACAAGGTCCTTCGACCATCTCGGACCTGCCAAATTCTCAGAAAGCGTTACGCTTTCTGTCAGATTTCAGGGCGAGGCTGTCTCCTCACACTCTCTTACTGAAGATGGGCTTTTCCACTGCCAGCGGTCCTCTTCAGCCGAGCTTGGCAGGAATTGCCTTCTACCAAGCCCGTTAGCAACTCCGAGAGCAATAAAAGTCGGGCCACGAAAAAGCCTCCCATTGCTTGCCGTCCAGTTTCGGCTGTTTTGAGTGCAGCGCGCACTCCATGCTAACTGGAGCATCGCTTGCTTCTTTGCGATCTCCTGCTCAAGCTCTATGCGGCACAATCTGCTGCTCGTCGTGAACAGCATTCATCGAAGGGAAACTGATGTCCCAGTCATCCGAGAGCGAGCGTGATGCTCAGAACCCTGAGCCAACTCCTACATCCTCGAATCTCAATCCTGAACTCTAGGTCGTCCCATCCCCATCCGTCATCAACCTAATTTCGAATTCCAAGGTACCCTGAACCCTCAATCCGAAATCCTGAATGCGACTAGTGAATTTCCGAGTTCTTGCTCCTAGTTCTGCGAACGAAGTCCAGCTTCTTCTTGGCTGCGCTGAGGAGTTGACCCGTCAGCTGCTCTGGGGTGGTGCACAAGCAATCGCAGGTTGTAAATGTGTTGGCCGAAAGGCTATCTTGCTTATGCATTGAAACACAGAACACGGTACCATACTTTGCTCCTGACACAAGGGCTTACAACCCGACTCGCATTAGAGAATTTGGCCCACCGTCCTTACAAAGTCTCACGCGTGAAACGAGCTGAATTACGCTTTGCGTCGCTCGTTCATGGTTATGATCATGGTGGACATGCGGAGCTAGCCAGCTGAATCTGCATTCCCCACCATGGACCCGCACGAAACGTGATGGCAACCATGCCAGCAGCAAAGAGCGACGCATGTCAAGGGAATAGCCATCTGACGGGCTCAGCGCTGGGGAAACCTTTTGGTATCCTTCCATCCAAAGATCTTGACGGAATCTGCTCCATGACCCCATGGATCGTGCGAGTTCTGGACGATACCGGCAAGCTGCCAAGCAAGTTCAACCCCGTTCTGCGATGACTGAAAGATGGGTCCGAGGAGAAAATCCGCCGGGTAAATGGAAGCATCTTTGTACAAGGGCTTCCCACAACCGAAGGGCCAAGTCGAATCTCCGGATCACCCTGCCAAGCGAATCAGCCCCTGCAGCTGTCCACCTTCTAGCGGAATCCTTTGCTGAAGCAACCTTAGCTCTTGAGACAACCAGACTGTCAGAAACATCCTGATTCCAAAGCCTGCCCAAAACTACCCACTGCAATCCAGTTGCTTGTGGCAGGGCCCTGAGAGGTCAGAGAGTTGAGGCTTCGGGCTTCGGGAAAACAATCATGAGGCCCATGTTATGGGTTTGTCCGTTAGCCGTACCTTGTTCAAATCAGCTTCGCTTCCCCGAACACGAACTCCTAAGCCGTAGTCTGTACCAAAGCCCTGCATCGGGCCTTGGGAAACGACGGCGGTGGTGCCGGTGCCTTTGGAGCTTGCCGTTGAAACCATGGTGGCCTGAAAGGCTTGGACACGATCGCGATAGAAGCTATCTAAAATTAGAAGTGAAGCATCACTGACGGGGTCGGGTTTGCTGGACCCACCTCTCCCACGGCGGGAGGCGATTGTGCTCTTTCTCTTCCAGCCAGTGTTTTGCGGCTTTGTAAGCCTCGACACAGCTTGGAGCTTTGGGTTTCCGACTTGGGGTGAGCAAGTGATCAATCCGTGGGCAACTCCAGCCCAATTGCAGTCTTCCCAGCCTGATGTTTGGGTCCGTCATGGCTTGCGGAACAAACTGATGTTATCACGCTGACTGGCTATCGGCTAAGACATGAACTTCCTGTGATCAGAAGAGGCGGAGATCATCCAAGCGGCCTCGTCCATGAAGTGATATGCCTGCTTCACCCGCTCATGGCCGCCGCAGTATCTTGCCACTTCATCATCCACTTTGTCCGGATGCAGGCGCAAGGCAATGGTTCCTGGGAGCCAGGTCACACGGTGGCTGGCTATTTAGGGCTTGGGGTTGCCCTCCTTGTGCCTTGAGTAAGGGAATGTCATGTCAACTGCAATCAGCATCGCCATCATCATCGAACTCGGTGTCGGCATTCCCCAAATCCGTGTTGCTGCTTGATGGCGATTGCTGCTGCTGTTTCTTCACATGTTTTGTGATGCTCGCTATATGTAGTTTTCATTTTTCCTCTTGCTTGTTGATACCGCTGTGTGCGAACCCTTCGCACTGGCCACTGCAGACGACGCTCGTGTTCTGTTTCATACTCAGGTTCGGACAGCGACACCTACGCCACACACAGGGCCATACCGTATGTATACATACACAGTTCAAAGGTACGTATGCATGCTGCGCCAAAGCATCACCACGATACCACTATGCTATGCGCTTGTTCTTGTCATGTGACTGCATATTAACTGTTGCATTCCTCTCCAGCACAAGATCCCGAACTGCTGGGTTCAGCAGCCGGGAAACAAGTGCAAACAAGCCAGCCGGCACAGGACAAATCCTGGGATTTTTCAACAACACACTAACCGGAAATGCTAGACCCTAAACCCGAACCCATGTCATCAGGTTATTATTTAGTATACCATCATATACCCCAAAACCCTGAAGGACGCACCGTTGGGCAGTCAACCTGGCATGCTCCGAGAGACCGAAGGCCGCATTCTACTAGGCTTGCACTGCTCTAGCACTAGGCACACTCTGATCTCTTTTTGACCGTATTGCATCTGAGTTAGGCTTTGGGCTAGGGTGCCAGGAACAGGAAAGACAGCCGAGGCCTACATCACAAGCCCAGAAGTATATAAGAATCCCTAGTTTCAGCCCTCAGCCCAACACTATCTAAATCCATGGACACCAAACTCCCTCAATCCCGGCCCTTCTATATACCCTAAAACCCTCATAACGGGTCGCCCTGACCAGAATGGACATTTAATTTCCCATTGCATTCTTGAGTTCCAGGGCTGAGCGCCGAGGGTCCGCTCTGAAGACGTCCGGATCCAGTTTGACCGGCCGGAAAGAATACATCCAGAAGCGACCAGACGAGTCCTCGCCCCCAGAGGCGTGCCAGCGCCCAGCCGGCACGGAGTCGCCTCCCGAAAACCAGAACCAAAACGAGTCACCTCCAGAAAACCAAAACCAAACGAACGTGCATCGCGCGAATTGGCTGTCCGCAGCAGTCTTCCTCGTACCTGTGGGAAGCTGCAGCAGCATCCCCGATGCTAACGACAGCCAGGGCATCGACATGATTCTTTCCAGTTTCGGTACGGGCTCTTGTACCATCCGTGCGCATTGGCCCAGCGGATCGGAGAATTGCCTACCCCACGTGCCGTGATCACCGTCTTGCGGCAGTCGACGCAGACCATGATCATGATCCAACGATGCCCGTCAGGAAGCGACACAGCGGCTGTCTGCTCCGGGGGAACCGGTGGAATGATCGAAGAATGAACTCCTGCAGGAACTTTGCCGTCGGTCTCGCAGCTCCCAGAACTCCTGCAGGACCAGTCGGAGGCGCAGGCTTTGCCGTCGGGGGTCTCGCAGCTCCCGGAACTCCTGCAAGACCAGTGTTAGCATCGGCCTATAACTATAACCATGTATGTGTAAATATGTACGTGCCTACGTATACAACGTACATCTTACGTTTGGGCGGCATAACTACACTTACACGCACCCAGACTAAACACCAAAAGAGCCACGTGGTATCACTTGGATGAGCAGCCCCCTCACTGCAAATACCAAGGCGACGGCTCTTTTTGCTTTCCAGATGCTTCACCTGAAAGTCTTCCTCCAGCTCGAAGGCTTGAATCCATTTGTATTGCGAGCCTTGCTGCTCAATAACCCCCGCAGAAAAGCAGAGAATCAGAAAACTCAACCCGAGAGCTTGTTGACCATGGACAGCACATAAGGATACGTACGAGTTCGCAAGCCCAGATTTCAGATGCACAGTGCACGGGGGAATAGTCAATCCGTGAAGACAGCAGCCTCCCCAACCGATCCCTAAGCGCAATGGATGCTGGCTGAAGGCGTTGGCGATGGATGCGAAGCAAGCGATCCGCCAATTGCTTGGCTTCCTCCAGCCTGCACGGGGCAAAAGTATTCTTCTGGATATCAGTACACAGCCTAAAACATGGACGACGGGGCAGAAACAAAAAGACAACATGACCACATCGTGAAAGATGAGACGAAGAAACAAAACGAAGCACATGATTGACTCAATGGTTTTGTACACAGTTGATGGTGCCTGCTCACTTTGGACGGCGGAGAGCTCACCTCGCGAGAACGAGAGGCGACTGCGAAGCTCATCAATTTTCAGGCTTGCGCCGTTAAACTATGCGCCGACATTCACGTGATCGCCGTTGCTGGTTGTCACACTGCCGGTGATCACTACCTCTGACCTTAAATTATCTTAGCTTGCAATTTTCCTTCATGCAGCTACTCTTTGGCCCTGAATGCTGCGACACAGAGGAGGGATCTTTTGGGCTGTGAGCATCCTTGGGGCATACGAACCAAACTTGCCACCAAAACATGCGGGATGATGGGGTGGTCCTGTGCAGGGGCATGTGAGACAGCTCTGATGGTCACAGCAACTCCGGCGAGTGGCACTTCGCGACGAACAAGCTCCAGAAGCAGTCGGTCTTTCTGCCTCAGATCACAGATGGTGATACCGTGCAGGTGCTCTCGGCTTTGCTATGCTGCTACTCGTGGCAGACACGCAACCCGAGACTAGCACATCCCTGCAAGTTGCGGGTGGCCGGGACGGCGATTCGGTTGAGTACGCTCCACTGGCCTCAGCTGTCTGGCATTGCACCCAATGCGTGCATGACGGTCTGTGACAGAGAAGATACATGACGAAACTGTGTCGGCAACCGGAGAAAGAGGCACAGACTAAACAGCGTCCGAGCAACGCCTGCCTTCGGAAAAGCCGCCGGCTGATGTCTTACATCATTGCGCGGGGTGCTGCATCGCTCAGCCTGTTTCATGTCAAAGGCTCATGCACTGGCCGCCAGGACATTGACTATGACGAAGGACAATACGAACCGAAGCCAAGGTCGCCAGCAGTGCACCCTCACCCCCGGGCAACACACAGCTCCGACCCTGAAGATAGTGTCTCAATCCGAAGCAGACCTGGCGTTCAACCCTGCCTCTTTGTCCCACCAGGAGTTGCGCCAATGTGCTGACCCCCTCGACTCGGATCCGGTAGCATGCCCACTCCGCCCACGCCCTTCATGAGGATCCTGAGATGCCACCTATATCAACGTCCGCAGCTGCTGCTACTGGTATGAATTGGGTCAGGCTGCATATCTTGAAGAGCTCTTTGTGTCCCTGTCATGAGAAGCCTCAGTGCAAGCTCAACAAAAGAGGAGGCCAAATGAAGTCCTTTAGAGACCATGGCCAAGGCACGGAAGGATGGTGGAGGGGAGGATCGCTCGCAGAAACGCGAATCACTTCGATCTGACGCTGAGCTTCAGGATGGCAAAAACGTGTCAGTGCGTGTGAAGACACTCAGACATCTGTCGCAAGAAGCATATGAGCATCTAAGAAAGGCCACATCACAGAGCAGAGAGGCTTTCTTGCCTCCGAATCTACAGTCCTAACCACGGGTGTCCTTCAGCTCATGCAAGCAAACTGCCTGTGGGTGTGGCGGAGGGGGTCCATCCCACACCTCGGAGCATGTCACTGCTGCTGTCCGCTTCGCCACACCTACTAGCACAGCTAGGACAAAAGCAACGGCAAGAATCATCCAAGCGGCATTCGGCCGCTCCTGGCCATTGCCTTGGAATGGAAGCGAAAGTCTTCTGCACGCAGGTCAAGCCTATGAGCAAGGAATAGCAAGGGAGTCTTGAAAAATAGACGGGTGGCGCGGGATGCTTTCCCAGGCGAGAACCACGGGGCGCAGCTCCGGCAAGAACTCCACCTCCCGAAAGCCCAAGTACGCACAAGTTCCAATGTTCGCAAAAAAAGGAATTGTCCAGGGGCTGCTGCAACAATGAGCACCGCAGCGCCCGCCTCCCGAGCTGCATTCAATTTTGCCTCAGCCCGCTTGCGGGCCATGCTCAGCAGGCTTCGACAGCTGGGAGCCAGATGAACAAAAGCAGAAGCAATGGTTCAACATGGCGTGACTTAGCTGAAAGCCAATCTATACCGCATCCATTACTCACACACGTGCGCTCCACAGGCATGCATGCTTCAAGCGAACGGCATAGCTTGAAGGAACTGGCCGCACGTAAACGCAAATGCCAAGGTCGGGAAATGCTGTACAAAGGTGCCTAGACCGCAATCAGCTGAATTTCGGCATTGGCATATAGGCTCCGCAATGAGTTCGTAACAAGGGGCAGGGAGCAGGGAACTCCCCCAACCTCCAAACCCTACACGTTCAAACCCCCAAAACCCTGAAACCCTCGCATCGCAGGAGCCTGCTGCCCACCAGCTGCCAGCGCCCTTCGTCCTCTATGTCCTCTGCAGCCTCCACTTGGGGTCCCAAGAACGGAATCAAAGCAGGAGTAGCAACGCCGAGTCGGAGCCGGCCTTTCGCCTCCTCTTAACCAAGACCTGAATCGATCCATAAACACATGCGCATGCGTGCAAAAGTCTGCAAAAATTCTCGGGAAGCAGCCCAGAGCACGAGAGAAGCGGATGCTACTGCGAGGAGTCCTGAGGCGATTGCACTCAGACCAACACCGGGGCTGAGACTCCCAAGACCAAGAAGAACACAGCTCTTCCGTCCGAGTCCATGGTAGACATTCCATCGGCGAGAAGCAGCGATAGCCATGAGAGCAGGTGCCAAGAATTGGAAGGATAACTCCTAGGTCAAGGCACTGCGCTCCTACCCCGCTTGAGATGCATTGCAATGTTCAGGGACTCTGCTGCTGTATGCCACATTCAAACGGGTACTTGAACTTAGCAACCCTCAGTCAGGGCCGTCTCACAGCTGCAGACCGCGCAGATGGGACACTAAGCAGGTCGCACATGGAGGAGTTCCAGCACAAGAAATAGCCGCTGCTTTCAACAACGGCAAATGCATGCTCCGGTAGAAACCGACTTCACCGCATCAGAACATCCTTCTTGCCGCTCACAATGTGGGTATAAAGACCGGAGAAGTCCTGCTCTGAAGCTCGCGACAGCAAGGTGCAGCAAGACGGAAGTGCAATCTGCGCTCTGGCACGTGCATCAGGTCTTTTTCGGTCGCATGCCGACGAGGAACCCCGACGGTTTGATCGGAAGGATCCCAGTCGGTCTCAGGTTTTGACCCTGTCGCCCAGTTCAGTCAGAGATATCTGCCTCTAGGGTTTGAAACGGCGCGAACTCTAGAC